CTATTTAGACCCAAAGCGTCTCCTAGCTCCTTAAGGAGCGTTGAGCGCACCGCAGGTGGAGTAATCCTCCGTTGTTAATCACCCAGCTCCTCTAGGGGCCACTGGGTAGTGAAGTCACGTCAGTGGCAGTCAAGTCAGAGAATCACCGACAGGAAGCGTCTTCGCGCTCGCGTCTCGCACGCGCCCTGCGTTATCAACCCATCGGTCAGAATTGGGAAGGAATAAGGTTTAGGACGCTTAACAGGGGTTGGACTAGCTCCTGTGAAGTATGCAAACTCGTTTTGTCGTAACAAATTCCACATGAGGTCCTACGAGAATTCTACGGGAATCGAACCCCGAACCTCAGTGGTGAAAGGCAAGAGACATCTTCGCGAGAGCACTTGTTTTTTAATTTTATTTTTACATTTGTTTTTATAGAAGAAATAAGATGATCGGCCTTTTATTCTAAAGCCCCATTTTCACGATGACGTAAGTCATGGCATGACATTTGATCGGCACGATCTTCAAAGTCGTGACTTTTCGTGAAAATCGAGTGTGCGTTTACACGTTGACTACCAGTTCCACGAATTTGGTCACGGGACATGGGTGTCGGTGCGCCAGTTCACTTCATTTCAAAAGTGGAATGTAACAAGATGTGATGGCTGCAGCGATTGTTATAGTGGCAGAAGTTATCACATCTTCCCAAAGGACGAAAAAATGAAAATCGGTAAGAGTGGATTAAGAAAAGGGAACTTCTGAGGACTCCCTTGAAAGAACTTCGCAAGTTATGACAAATTCGTGCAGATGAGCACTCTTTTAATTATCTTCTCCAACGAATAGAATGACTAATACAAAAAAGAAGACAAGAAAATAACGATACCAGCAAAGCTAAAGTTGCATTTTGTTTTTTGCATTTTGGCTTTGCGTTTTTTAGCTTCAGGGGATTCGTATGCTCCCTTCAGTGGTTCTACAGATAAAAACCATCTTTTAGTATATAAGTGATATTTTTGTTCTCTATAACGTTTTGGGGGAAATTAAGTTATATTTGTTTTTGCTAGTTTACTTTCTTAAAATTCCGAAGTACACCATTTGTAGTTTCCTAGCAGAAGTGTTAGAAGCGATTTGAAAATTTCAAAGAATGTATTCATGGGAGTACAAACATTTCCATTTATGAGGAAAACCAAGGATTCCCATGAAAAGCTAGGTCGTGATTTGTTGTACCCTTGAAGTCGGTTGGCAAAGCATGCATACAATGGTTTTTAAAGAATGTGGTCTCTATGATCAAACCACAATTATAAGCCAAATTTTGATATATTGTGTTACATGTTAATTGTGTCTTTACTAATAGAAAGTATTTAATTCCATTCATCTCAACTATAAATGCCTTTCAAGTATAATTCCGTAAATATTTATGGACTATTAATTCATACAGGTCGATCCAGGGAGCCGAGATCGCTAAGGCAGTAGTGTCGTGGTGATCGAAGGATCGTTGGTTCAAATCCCGCCTCGGACATGGATGTATTTGTGATCGTCCTTTCACCCTTCATCACCATCCTATCTCTTCATTAAAGAAGGATTAATAATTCCTAGCACGAGCAGGAGGCACTTGCCCTTAATGGGACGTGCAGTGGCCTAATAAAAAAGTCATCAAAGACCCTATTCCATTTTTTTTTGTACAAATTTCATATTCATCATCAATTACATTTACATGACAGGCATTTTCTTTATGCACTAGTTTTAAATTACCATTCACAAGCACACTATCATTGTAGCTACTAAAAGTTAAATACATAGTTTGAACTGTATTAAAAATATAATTACTTGAATAAAAAATTAATTCTTTTCAATTTTATAATCGTGGAATTTTTATTTCAAATGTGTCTGTTCACGCCAAAATATCAGGGTATGAAATTCCCATAAGGGCAAATAAATAATGGTATATTTCCATGTATTTGATTGTATGAAATGAAATATATAATACAATATCTTAAAAATATGACAATACATCATCAGAAATAAAATTATGTTAAAAATTTAAAATCTATGGATAATGATACTAGTAAAGATTATATTTGAATGCATACTTACTGTAATGGTTCAAAGATCTTAAAAATTCATTGGCACAGCAGGAGAACATGAAATTCATTTTCTTACAAATAAATAATAATTGAAATTTTGGTATTTTTTAAACTTCTTTACATGCCCAAAATAATAAAGTATAGAATTTACACAGATCTTATTACAACTTAGATATTGATGTAATAAGTTCATGTATTTAAGAAAAAAAAATACTTTCACTAGATTCAAGACAGAATTACAAAAACATTACATAGACTAAATAATTGATACATACTGTAATGCAATCAAACCATATAAATTGGTAAATTTATGTATTTACAATGCATGAAATGCTCATTTGCTTATAGCGTCATTTTTTATGTTACCATTTATAACTCCTAATTATTAATAGTTATTATTAACAAATGACATTAATTAAACAGTAAATTATTTACAACCAATAAACATTGTGATTTTTTTTCATTAACATGATAAATAATAACAACATATTAATGAACAATAATGTATAAAACATAGCATTACTCCAAAATAGTTATTCATGAAATAAATATGGTTTATATCTTATTACAATACACCTTTGAACACATATGAAACAATGTCACTAGGCCCATTTTAAATAAAGTATTTTAAGAAGATATTATGGTACAAATATCAAGTATATTTTCTCCACGATGTAAAAATTTCAATGTACTATAATTTTTATTCACATTTAACTCTTCATCTGCAAAAGGCAGACTGATGTTGATAGTAGCTAATGGGGGCGTGGATTGTCCTTGTTATCATTATACTTGTGATCTTAATATATGATATTATACGTGGTTTATTATACTTCTGATCTAGTAACTTTTAGTTTCTTGATCTCTTTTGTGAATTTTGATTGAACAAAGATAAGTGGTGTATGGAAAATGTGTTATGTAGGTAATCAGACTTTTCCATAACAAATACATGCCAGTAATAATTAGCGGAGAGACTTGTACCTCTTGACACGTTTTTATAACATATATCTAGCTCTGATTACATTGTAAAGGACAGTGGTTTACTGCAAAACATTTGTAATAGTATAAACTTCAAACCAATTATTTAGTTTATCATTCTGATTTTATTTACATTTTTTAAATAAAATAAAATTAAAATAATTTAAATTTTATTATTTTTCCAAACCAGCTACAAAGGACCTTGCATTTGCCCAGAGGTACAAGACTATACTGTACAAGTGGATATAAAATAAAAACTGGTAATAGACCTACTTACTGGATGTTACTGAATCATGCAAAAGTTATAAATACTCCAAGGTAATTAATTTTATTTATATAAGAAAAGAAATGCATATTATAAATTATTTTTCATTACATGTAAAAAATAACTTCATAATACAAAATTGAAATAATTCTGGATCCATTTCTAAATGTAAATAATCCTGTATTTCGGGAGTGTTCATGTCGGGTCATTTTTAAGTCAGCATCTAATATCGAAAGAATCTTAAATTTCACGTCACATCACATAAATGACAATCCATACAGCAAACTAGGAATTTAGCTTGTCGAGCTGGAGCCCGAAACGACATTGGAACAGGAAGTTTCCACCCTACATCAGTTTCTAAACTATTATACAGAGTATCAGAATAAGTAAATGAACTTATTTCCTGAGAGATGATTTGTTCCTCTCAAATACTTAATTACTTTTAACACTGCATTCCATTTTCCACAAACTTCAACCATGAAGAATCATTTGTACATTTTTGTTCCATCCCAAACTCAACATCAACAGACCAATACATGCCTGTTAATAATTATACATGCTAATGAAACAAAAATGAAATTAGTTATTTTATACTGATTAATTCACTACTTGTGTCATTATTGGAAAAAAATTAGTTGGAATTTAATAACAATATACTCAAATAACTTCTCTGATGATGATTTCTTTCCAACTATTTGTTTTATGGAAAGGTTTGGAAGAATATTTGAGTCCAAATAGTATATGGAGCATACATACTTAACACATTTGTACAAAATAGTAAACCTATAAATTTCATATTATTTAAATATAGAAAATGTAAGTGTTAAATTCAGTCACTTCTAAATAATTAATGTTGATTTATTCAATATACTAATTTTTCTTACCAGTCAAATGTTCCATTACTATCTACATTCCAATTCAAACAAAATGGGCATTTTTGTTGATGTGAACGAAAACTTCCACAAAGTGGAACACGTATAATGTGAAAATCTGTCCAATGTTATTATAAACTGTTGCTGAGAAATGTAACATGCTCTTGATTAAAAAAAAAACAAAAAAAATGTGTATTTGATGCTTTCTGCTGTTAATTACTTTCTTTTATTATGATATGAATGAAATACGGAGTGTTTGCTGCTCAATTAACTTTGTTTTTACATTACCCAGACATATATGTAGACTTTCTTTCCATTCACCTATTTAAAGTTTTAGGAGATATTCAACGAAATCTATAACAAATTTTGATAATAATAAACAATTTCAGTGACTAATGATGCTATATGAACTTAAATTTCTTTAAATATTTATTGGAGTGAATGAATTTTCATTAACTTCTCTCTCCCCCAATGTAGTCTCTCAAATCATGCTCATGTGAGGAATTTGGATACAATTCAGGTAAATGAATGTATAGGTTCATTAAAAACTGTTTAATTATGTACTATAATACTCAATTCAAAATCCAAATAATATTACGAATCTATATGTGACGAATATGGTGAAACTATGTTAAATCATTCCTGTGCTGTGGAGTCTGGCCTAGGCTGCTCATAATTATCACAGTTTATTACAACTGTTCTTTGAATGGGTGTCATCACGTTCACTCTTCTAACTTTAATCTAAAAAAAAAAAACGACATTTGAGTGTGCTGATTGCAGCTCTGATGATGATTGCTAGGCTTGCCGAAGATGGACGCCCTGCATTTGCAGGATCTCATGATCGACGAAGGCCATAAATTCATTAGTATGAAATTGTGTTGCGGTTTTTATGCTTCAGCGGTATCATCCAGTTTATTTTTCCGCGCTCGGTCCAAGCACCTTCTAAAGTCGTGTCCTTGGCTGCCGCTAGGGTTGCTTCTTCTCTCCATCGAGTTACTTTCCTGTTGCGAACAACTGGACAAAAATATTACAGTTTTAATAAAATTCTTGTATTTCAGGTATCAAAAATGAACAGGAGTGGGAACTTGTTGAAGGATTAAGAAGCGAATGGAATTCCCCAAACATGATTGTGGCTATTGACGGCAAACTCGCGATAATAGAGAGTCCGCCAATGTTACACTATTTTCTACAATTATAAAATAACTTTTGTGGTGTTGTTAGCGCTGGTTGACCACAACTACTGCTTCACAGTTATTTATGTGGAAACCTGCGGCAGCCAGTCTGACAGCGCTAATTTTGGCACATCGAAGTTGAAATCTGCAATTGAAGAAAATACGCTGAAATACTGTCGAAGACTGCGTTATGGTTGGGGCGAGGGATTTCTTCACAAACCCTTTTTAATAACACCATAATCAAGGGAGGAGGCTTCTTGAATAGAAACAAAAATTATATAATATAAACTGGGGCGTGCCAGACGCATTGTGGAAAATGCCTTTGGAGTTTTGGCTAGTAGATTTCGAATTTTGCGAAGGCCGACATGCCTAAGAGATGGTAATCTCCTTTGTGAAAGCGGCATGATGTAAACCCAGCTACATAAAACTAGCCAGTACATGTATGTTTGTATATGTTATATTCTATGAAGTTTGAAACGAATGCTACTACGATTTGGTTTATTTCGGATATTCAACAGACGCTATTTTTATTAATAAATCATTAACAAACATTTTTCCATTTAAAATGACGCCATAAATTTATTCGGTTATATTTTGCAGAAATAAACTTATTAGTTCATATTTTACTTCAACATATTTCATATTTGACAGCAATGATGGTTAATGATTTTTAGTTTTAAGTTTTAAGAGACGTAGAGAACAGGCAACGAGATGCCTTTACAATTGTAAAACACTCGACTTGTCCAGAGCCATTACGAGGTACAGGTTAATAATTATTTTCAAGTGAAGGGTTTGATATAAACAATGAAAGTCTATTACCCGTTCTTTCACGATTATCACACATTTCGGCGAAGGAAAAAAACGACCTCGCGTAACAAACGAAGTTGTTGGGTTGTTTCTCTTTGGGGCGCTGAGTGTGCGAGAGTCGCTAATATTTCTTCGATACTGACTATTCAGTGAATAACTCCAAAACTGTCGTAATTTTTTGACCTCGGCGGGAAGTGTGTTTTCGGAATTAACTCTGACTGGCCAGGAATAATTGGCTAGTTTTTCGAGCTTTTCTCTCCCACTGTGCGCTGACATGCGAGCATCTGCGATGCACAAGGGCAGTGCTCCGTGTACAAGTGCCACTCGAAACGACAGAATATCCCACTGACGTGGTCCGACCTCATTTATGAAATAGGAGAGAGTTTTACGGGGCAATCATTCACGTAGAAGAGTGGATATTGTTCTGGTTTTTGAACTGTGCAATAGTAAAATAGCAATTTCCGCCTAAAGGTGGAAATCGCTTTTTTACTATTTTACAGCGCGGCTATTGTATGCATTTGCTTTCGTTTTGATGAAAAACTTTGAATATAAATAGTATTTCACGCAGGAATTTATAAATTATATAATTCATAAAATTATGATCCAATTCAACATAATAGGTGTCAGTGTTCCACAGTAAATAGGCTTTCAGAAATTCTTCTCTCATGTAAAAACGTTGTTCTGTGGCATTTGCCTGCATTCCACTGGGTAACACAATTTTAAAACTATTTGTTGTCAATCTTATACAAAATTTTTAATACCGTCGTGCTAAAAATTACTTTCTGTTTCCTCGTTAGACAGGTTTCCGGCTTGCCCCGCATACTTTGCATTGGAAAATAGTTCTTACTACTAAATTCACGCACGGTGACGCGTTTTCAAATGTTTTAAGGTTAACTTCACGCACGCATTTTTAATCGATCTTAGAAAAAGGTCTTAAGCTTTTTTTTCTGTGACTGCTTCTATTAGGAATCATGATTTGCTTCATCTCTACTTTTCACAGTTTATTCGGAAGGAACTCCCACCTCCGTTAACGTTTGTATAACAAGAGGCTGTGGTTTTGGAACAGCGAGGCATTGTTATTCCATATGAGTTTCTATTGTGTAGCAGCTACTACATCGTGGTTGATGAGTTTAATAATTGTGAAATTAATATTGTTTGTACATTAATGTGTGCTTTATTTTCTTATTTCTCGTGTAAGCTATCTACCGTGCGTAAAATTTTTTTCGACCTTTGGCGTCACGGTAAAAAAAGTGTTTTAGCCACGGTTATGACACGTTTTTCAGACATTTTAAGAAAAGACTAACTTGACGCACGCATAGCTGTACGTAGCAACCCCGCATTTTTATACGATTGTAAAAAATAGTTATTTATCCATTTTGGTTTTGTATAGTCAAACATAATGATATCATGATCAGATTCGTAATGGAATACGTTACCGTCCTAATATGGTAATGAACTTAATAACAGCGATAAAGTAATGGCCTAGGTTTAGAGTTATTCTGGAACTAGCATTTTTCCATGGTCCACAATTAAGAATAACAATAATTGTTAAAATTATTTATTATCAACATCACTTTTTTTAAAATGTTTAAATAAAAACAATAATAGCATATTTTACTTACTTACAGACAATAATAATTTTGTGCCAATTTGTAATTACAATTTCTGATGATGTTGAAGCCTGGCAATTCATAACAACATTAATTTCTATATTCGAATTATTTTCCCCCATAATTTTCTTAGCTGTTTCTTTTGTTTTTTACTGATGTTTCCAATATCCTTCTGCTACAGAAGATGATTTCCATCCACTGTGCCTCTTCAACATTCTTATCAGCACCTGGATCTTCGAGTAACGAAGCAGATGGTCTTTGGAATCTTGTATCTCTTTGGAATGCCGCCAAACCATTTATGCCAATAGATTGGTATTTTCCATTGTTGTAAAGGGTCGGGCTTGACAGTTGCGGCGAAGTTCTCTGCAATATTTCCTTTAGCATTTCCAATTTAGTATATTGCATTCCATGTTCTTAAAATAAATTTCTCTCTAATTGTTTATTTTTTCTATATAAAGAGGTTCAACAAGTGAGTTGAAGTATTAAAATAGCCTTTTTAAATATTTGGCAAACACCTTACTTAATGATTTACTCTTATAATAATAAAATTCACTACTCAGGAAAATTCAAAGCTAAAAAACCAGGGCTGCTACAATAAGTGTTGTAGCACCTCGTATTATTGAATACAGTTACTTAATATTGAAATTTCTCCCCTACTAACACCTCAGCTATAACTTGAAAAAGTGCAATTCAACTATTTCAAATGGAGCGTTAGTATCTGAATTTATTATTGTAGTAAAAAAATTGTTATTTCTTACTTTTACAAATGATACAAACACGACCATATTTCACTGTTACAGTGTATGCAGCACATTATACAGAACACGAAGAATAATTTCACACAAGATTACCTTGATTATATCGAAGTGGGCTTCCAAATTTTCAATACCAAAATCAACGATCATCACTTCTTAAATTAAAAAAGTGTTAGTTCTGCGGTATATTTATTACCTTCCTTAAACTATTTCCTTTTATAAGAAAATTATCTACGTCATACTATTAATATGACCGGCAACAATGACGGAAATCAAAAGAATTTTCTATAGTCATGTTACCATTTTGAGAACTGACAACGCGCCAAACGAAGCGCGAGAATTTTGAATTTACAGTTTCGATTTTGTTTTCAATTCAGCGAATGTGCCAAAAATAGAACGACCTCCGTTCTCTTCAGTTTTTTGCTACATACGTGAACAAAATTTAAGGAAAAAATTGAAATAACTTTCGACCAAAAATGTTTAAAATTTAAAAATTGACGAAGTTTTACGCAAAATTACAAAAAATTATATTTTTGAACGACTTTATTTGAAAATGTGTTTCTAATGAACACATTTCATTGAAGGGAAAACGTTTTCCTCATAGTTGCAGTTGTAGGAAAATGGGACGAAAATTGTGAATTTACGCAATTTTCGAATAAGCCGGAATTTCAACAAGAATGCGACCTGACTATTCTCTTAAGAAATCTTTATGTCACCTAAAGACAAAATTCAGTCAAATATTTTTGTCTCTTTTTTAATTAGAAAATAATGAGGTTTTCTGTAAAATAGACTCCCCCAATATCGGGCTTCAATTCAAGAGGCAACATCAGCAAGATCGATTAGGGGATATCAATTTTGGTGAAAATCCTATTCACGATTTAGCTGCTAGCTTTCTTCAGAGATAGAGTGACGGAGACAGAGACAGACGGACAGAAACAGACAGACAGAAAAAGACAGGGACAGACAAATAGTCAGACAGTCGGAGGCAGACGGAGACAGATGCAGACAGACAGATACAGACACAGACAAACAGACACGACTAGACGTTTTACCGTCAATAGATTTTTCGGTATCAATGTCGCACTGAACGTGGATTCTGATTACATGACGTGTTAGACAAGATTTATCGACACTTTCGTTACCAGGACTGATAATAAGACTTTTTCTGTCAAAAATTCTCCGTTTCTTCCCGCAGCATTACAATATTTCATACTGCATAAGCAGTAGAGTGAAAGTAAAACAGTTTAGTTCACAAAAATGTATTAATAAAGAGAATATTTCACCACACCAATAAATAAGATGTAAAATGTAATTAGAACCATCGAATTTAACACAATGATATCCTTGCTAACTTAACTTTGCTGCACATTGTTTTGAACTTACTGACAAAACGTATTATTACAGTTGGAAGAAAACTCCCAAAGGCCGGTTTTACACTATAAATAATTTTGACAAAGATCTTTTGTAAAGGAAATATAATCAGCGCCGTTGTGACCCTAGTTCCAGAGGTGCATTGAACCAGGCGGCAAAAAGTTAGATTACCTATTTAAAACATGAATGAAACAAAACAAAATTTTTAATGTACAGGGAGTCCCACCAACAATGGGTCACCCTCATAACTTCGAATTGGTTCCCGGTATCAACTTACAGTACTCGCTCAACAATGCAGAATCATGGGGCGAGTGGTATGTTGTAGAGATATTGTTTGAAATATTTTTCGACAAATTTAATCATCTTCGATTTTTTAAATGGAACCAAATAATTTTCTCACTAGCAATAGATAGATTATAAAAAGAGGAATGCAATGATGTAACAAATGCTATATTTTGAAAGTATTTTGTGCATAAAATTATACTTTCGGACCTGAGATTTTAAATTAAACGTGCAAGTTTTCTGTAGCTGCCGTCGCAACTGTCGTTTTTGGTAATCGTGGCCTTTGCGGCCTCTCCCCTCTCCCCGTAAAAGTGCCGGCACCACGAAGGCAACCTTCCACAAAGGAGACAGTTGAAAATTTTGCTACCGAAAGTCTTGTATATTTAATTTAAAATCACATGACGTAAAGTATAATTTTATACTAAAAATAGTATCAAAACATTAGCATATATTACATCATTGCATTCGTCTATTTATTATCTATCTATTGATAGTGAGATAAATACATGGCTCCATTAAGAAATTAAAAATGATTAAATTTCTCAGAAACTAAGAATATTTCGACCAATACTTCTACGGTACATTACTTTCCCCATGATTCTACGTTGTTGAGCGAAAACTACATTTCGATATCGGGAACCATTTAGAAGAGTTGAGGGTAGCCCGTAGTTAGTGGGACTTCCTGTACATCAAAGAGCAATACACATTACGAGTTTATAAACTAAGTATACGTATAGATCAGGCAGGCTGTTCCAACTCGGCCTTTCCCGGGCACGGGCGCCCACGTGCAATCGTGGCCCAGGAGGAGGTTGTGAAGGGGGAAGCGCTCGTATCACTTACCCCTTGTTTTTCGTGGAAGCAATTAGAGTAGTGCGGTGGCTGGCAAAGAAAGTCGCAACCCCACATGTCTTACCGGAAACCATGCAATCGCCAAATATTTTAATTTCCTTAGTTTGTCGCGATGATATCAGAATTTACATGTGGCTGTCTGCCGTATACTTAATAAAGTGCAGCTAAAATTATATCTATTTGGGTCAACATATTATTGTGAGTAGCTTTTCTCTGCAATGAAAATAATTAAAATGAAAGACAGAATCCAATTTCTGGACACAACATTGAAGATATCGTAACAACCGAAGGACTGACACTAGATATTGATTCACTTGTTAAGAAAAATATGCCTAAAATTAGTTTCATAAGATGTTATTGTTAAATTGAATCGAATTTTACGTTTCCTGAATTAAAATGTTTTTCTAAGTTTGAGTCCCAGTGTGCCCTCCACTCCCCAACCTAACCGCTCCCTGCTTCGGCCATCAGCGACAAATTTTCGTCCAAGGCCAAGGCCAACTCACCAAGTGCTCAGATTTCGCCAAGCGTCGGCAGCAAATATTGACAGCAATCTGCCTGTCAATTTCCGCTAGTAACCTCGGCGGCTGGCGGGCGATCGCGTGCCCGTCAACGGGCAGCTGAGTTGGAGCAGATTGCCAGAGACACAAAAAGTTTCATATTTTACCGCTCACATGAAACATGAAAATGACAGTTTATAGGGCAACATTGTTCTGTCCGTCCTTCCGCCTTTCTGTGGTCAACACTAGCGCCAAAACTATTGACGTTTTTCTTGAAAATTGATATTCCCTCCTATCTGGAGGTACTCGAAGAGTTGCGAGTTTAAAATGAAAGTATCGATTTTTACAAAAACGTCTCCCTTTTCCTCGCAGTACATAGCAACGGAAGAATAAAAAAAGACGCTGCTCCAATTTTCGTAACCGATGCCTTAAAAATGGCGCATATCTATTTTTTTGTTGAACTTTCTTAATTTTCGATTTAAAAAAGAAATTGTTGCGTCTTCATGGATGCAACGCGTCTCTGAACTCTTGTTGGCCGCCGTTTGCCTCCATTGTAATTTTTGCCAAGGCTTGTCACGTCGCAGTCAGTGTTTTTTATCTCTTCGGCCAGGAGCCGTTAGATTCTGGGATTCCAAACGTCATCAAATCAGAAACTCGCAAAGTTTTGAATTTGCTTAACGTCTGTAACTTCACGAGGAATTCGGCTAGCGAGTCCGGCAATTGCTAATGTTAGAAAATTGCGAGAAAATTCGAGCTGTTTCAGCACCACTAGTTTTACCAAAGTTATGTTTCACTACTTCGAGTAGCAGTACGCTAAAATTTTCCGACGCGTTTCCACAAGCATACATTTTGCTAATATTATTTCGTCTTGGTCTCTTTTGTGAATACGTTTGGGAATGTCTTGGGGTAAAGTCGACTTTTGACTTAGCCTTTAAAAATACCTGAATTCCTAATGACTCATTTTGCACTTATTCTGTTGCTATTGTTTTTTTCCCTTCAGGATCAATTCCCATCACTTCTCGAGAAAGAGTGTTCATCTTTTCCTACCCCGAAAGGAAAAAAAGAAGATTCGAAAAATAATATTTTATCGGGAGCACGGATTACTTTGTCATAAATTACTCAAGTTATCATTTATAGTGTAATACAGGCCTATGACAAAGAGAAGGCGCCGTTACGGTGAAAATACTCCAAAGTATTAAAAAATTGCTTTATTGCGACAACTAAACAGTCAAAAAAATATTATACACTAATGCTGTAATTATGTGTACGGCCTTTCAAGACAAAGAACAAGACATCTAATTGAGATAGAGATTATTGACTCACAAGAATGTAAGAAATTGTTGACCAAGAAGTAATCAATATGTATGCAACGAAAGAAAATGCCAGGTAGTCTCTTATTATGTAAGGATAGCTATTCAACAGAAAACACTTTATTTGATATTAGCACTAGTGTGGCGACTTAATGGCATTTGGAGTGAAATAACTATTTTGGTTACTATGTTGCTTGTGAAGGTATAAAATTTTAACCAATGAAAACAAAAATAGTGTGCTGGACGGGGAAAGAGTTTACACTTTACTAAAGTACGATGTTTTGATGTAGATAAATCAT